ACATGTGGGGGTGGGGATCGAACTAACAACCTCTTGATCAGAGATATATGTCAATTATCGCTGAGCTAGGTTCGTTTTGCAGTTCAATTTTTATTATATATACATATTTTAGTACAAACTCTTATCGATATTAGTGAAGGAATAAGAGTAGTATTAGATGAATTAAATATGCATTGAGATTGGGACATTTTGGTGCATATTTGGTGTGGGCATTAGAACATAAACATAGCCCACTTGAAGTTCTTTTCTACCCTTGGTGGAAGAATATCACAAAGTTATGATAAACAAGAATTTTCTTTTTATCAAATTAATTTTCATTGCAATAAGGTATTTTAGCGACAAAAGTAAATTTTTGTTGCCAAAAGTTGGGACCAAGTTCTTATTTGTCGCCAAAAATTTTGATTAATTTGAGATTTTTTATTCAAAATTTTTAGCCACGAAATTTAATTTTATTGGCAAAAATTTTAGAAAATGGTGAGAATTTTACCGTCATTTGTTTTTGGAAACTTAAGACGACGGAATGCAAGATTTTCGTGACAAATATTTATTTTGTCGCCATAGAACCCGATTTAATAAAACTCTCTTCATTTCCCTTCCATAGATCACGAAAAAATCGTTTTTTCATCGCTACAGATCTTTGGTGACAAAATTTGAAATTCGTCGCCAAAAGTCTATCCCGACAGGGATCTGCCAATGAAATTGGCGACAAAGAAAAATCGTCGGAAAAGAAGTTTGCCAACGAAATATTGAGCTTTGACGACGATTTTGTGCATCGGGAAAATTTAAATTTCTTGTAGCGTTGGTGCATCCCAATGATTTACCTCTCATCTTTTTTTTTTCAATTACTATTATAACAATCGTAGGGAAATTTGAATCTCGAACCTTGAAAAAAGAGACTATCAATGTCTTAACTAGGTGATCAATTATGCTCAAGTTGAGACTAGCCACCAAGTCAAATCTTAAAAGAACCACTTATGAATTTTTCTAATATGAAACGTGTCTGTTCTTATATTTGTATAATTGAGAAAGTTGTGAATAATTTCATCTTTATCTATGAATATTCTCAAACTCTTTGCCTGACAAGTATATTCTGATCCAATTTTATATAATCACATTGCGTATGATATTTCTACTCGCACGTCTCACGTAAACAATCCGAATTAGACCATCTCTAACATTTACAAAATAGATTGTACCAATAGTACTATTCAAAGATATACAAAATCTTCAGCTCTATCCAATGCTATAGACCATTTAACCTACATCCATCCCAACTAAATCCTCTCTTATGAACACTACATATATATACTTAGTCTCTCAACTTCTGTTATTTAATGAGCTTTTTAATCAAATTAGATGATGTATTAAAGACAAGATGCACCTACTTAAATGCATAATCATTTTATTTATATTCAAATGTTTATCTCTCTCTTAAAAGGGCTTTAGGGTTAAACCCTAAATAGTTGGGTTGCAAAAGAAATACAAGATACTCTCCAAACTACTTTGATAGGTTAATATGATTAATTTTATATAGATCCACGACACGCAGACTACTATATTCAATATGAATAAAGAGGGAATCATCGGAATTCATATAATATCGTTATAGCCTAAGTAAAATATCTACAAAGACTTAGATAGGAACGACTTCTTCACTCGAACACTCGTTTGATAGATCAATACATATCATATCGTATCAAACTTCAAAGTTAGATTTAAAAACTTTCCGATTTTGCTTAAATCCCCAAGTAGATGAAGAGATGAAAAAGCTAAGAAATTTGAAGAGAAAGAAGAGGAAATTATTAGCTTTTTCAAATACCAACTTGTGTATGTGTGTGTGCTTTTTTTTTTCTGTGCATTTAAATTTGGCTCTGAATCCGTCGTGTCAGTGCAAGAATCTTACTGCCAAAATCTGCCCTCCCATCCTACGGCTCCCACTACTCGAGACAAACAATTAATAAAACCACAAAAATGTATCAGATTCCTTTATTACTTTTTAAATCATCTAATGTTCCTTTATTACTTTTTAAATCATCTAATATAGCTTTGCTACGGTTCGGGACGAGGTGTTACTTGTATTTTTTTAGTACAACAATTTGGGGATAAAAAGAAATCAAACCTCCAATCTCGAAAGAAAGAATACGTGTTAATTACCATTGAGATATACTCATGTTAACTGAATTGATTACTTTTTATTAGAATTATGGAAGCACGTCACATTATGCCAGAGTTTATTTTAATTTCTTTACTTTTTGAAATGTTTATTTTAGTTCTTATGCTTTTAAATTTTGTTCACTTTAGTCTCCATATTTTTGAAATGTTTGTCTTTAAAAAGTGACCATTTTAGTTCATTTATTGTCTTTTCTTAATCTCACTTCTATCTATCAAAATTTTAGCACGACACTTCAATTACTAATTTTTTTAAAATGGAGTCATTAATTTGTATTAACAAATCTTCCTTGTGTCCAAAATTTTGAAAATGAAAACTAAAATGGTCACTTTTTAAAATATATAAGGACTAAAACAGATGTTTTAAAATTACAAGAGTTATATGTGTTTCTTAATAAAAATGTTTTTGTTTTCACATCGTATTTAGTTTAGTGAACTAATTTTGATGGCTTTTTGTAAGTCGAAGAATTGTCACTATCTAAGATGAATGTGATACTTTAAATCTACGAGGTCAATTTTAATTACCATTAAAAAAGTTTTATACATAAGAAATAAAGAATATGTTCAAACATATTTTAAAACCTCAAATGTTTATAAAGTGAAAACAATTTAATAAAGAAATTGAAACTAAAAATAAATAAATGTTTTCTCGTGGGATAAAAAGATACATATTTTTTTATTTTAGTGCTTTAAAAAATTTGTAAAGTAAATATCAACCATTAAAAAAACATTTAGAAAGTAATTTTGACACAAGTATACTTCTTGAAAAAGTAAAGCACACCCAAAATAAAATGTTATGCATTCGTATTGTATTTTTACTTTTGATTAAAATTCATCATATATCGTTAGCATTAATTGAGTGGTAAATGGAAATTTACTACTGACATATTATTTATGAGGTAGAAAATATGTTCCTAAATATGACATGAAAATTGTAATTGACATATATCTCAAACTAAGAGGTTATGAGTTCGATTCTCCGCCTCCGTATGTTGTACTAAAAAAAATACATGTGTTTACACAAAAAGCAAAATTATTTTGGTTGAAAAGTGGATAGGCTAGTTATGTTTTATACATATATCTATATATTTGAAGCATTAGAATATTATGAATGAAAAATGTAACAAATAAATAAATAAATAGAGAAAAAATTTGGAAAGTATAATATGAATCTTAAAATTCATGAAAATAAATATGAAAATAGAACCAAAAGAATAGTTATGTTATTTTACAATTTCATCCTTACTTATTTCTTAAAACTATCAATTTTACTCCTTATCTTCTGAATTTTTAAAATTATCTGTTAAATTGAATGACAAAACGATGATATAGTTAAGAGTCGGAAATATCCAATATTTTAATTTAATGAAATAGACATATACACGTTCATAAAATAAAAAAACGCATCTCTCAAAATGGCTTATTAGTGTAAAAGAAATGGACCCATTAAAAGTTATTTTTCAACTTCACTAATCATTCTTCTTTTAACTCTTAATGACAATCAAAACTTGATTGAAAAAACAAATCCAATAAATTAAGAATGATTTGGAATATAAATATAATATGGAAAGTAAACAAAAGAATCATAGAATGGGAATAGAACACAAGATCAGTGACACATCAACTGTACCTAATTCATAAAATTATTATTATTAAAAAGCACAAAATGGGAACTTTGAAAACATTCAATTAATTCTCTCATATGTATTCTTTTCAGAGTTGGCATTCAATTAAGCTGTCACATTTCTATGTTTCGAGCAGTATTATTCAAACCCACCAAATGCTCAGACATCTCATCTAATTTTTGCTGCCAAAACCAATGGATTGTTCTTCTTCTATCCTTCAAAAATTCCAACTACAAACCTACAACACAACTATAACCTAACATTTTTTTGGTTGAATTGCTCACGTGTTTCATTTTCGTTCTTAAACTTTGAAATATTCCACTTCAATTCTTGTATTTCGAAAATGTTTTTAGCGATGTTTCTCAATTGTGTTCTTTTCGTGTGTTGGAGACTTCTCACCCTTATCGGTTAGTCGACCATCTTCATTTTCATTATTATCCTTTGTTATGGATTAACTAACTTCATTAGTGATATTATGTAATTCTTTTCACATGATTTTTGTTTGGTTTTAAATATGGTACATGTACAAGTTTATTTTGATTTAAATTGATTGTTTCATTTTCATTTTTATTTTATTTCTACCCATCATAATTTTAACATTCCACTTCTTTAGTCTCTATAGTTTAAAGTTTGTAACAATTTAGTTCTTACGTGAATCACGTAAATCTAAAAATCAATGAGGGCTAAATATATTTATAAATTACAAAAACTAAAACGTTATATAATAAAAATCGAGACTTAATTTTTGTAAGATTTTTCATAGTAAGGACTAAATTGATACAAATTTTAAACTATAAAAGCTAAATTGTTATTTACTAAATTTCATGAATTAAATTACTACCGATTTGAAAATGAAAATACAAGACTAAATTGTTACGTACTGAAGTTAAATTATTACTTTATGTTAAAAGTATAAGACTATTGTGTTTTCTAACCTAAAAAAATTATATTGCCTCTTCTATTAAAATAGACCTTTTGAAACAACTAAATGAAAATAAAGAAATTTATAAACACATCAATCATTTGGGAAATCCACTAAATTTAGGGCTCGTTTCCTAAAAATGGTAATTTGATTGTTATACTTAAATTTTCTTGAACGTGTGAATGCAAATTGAGATTTATACATTTAACGTAATTATATAAAAAGATGAAATACATTTATCCAATGGATAATTTGTACATCAGATCATCAATCTACAAAACATCATAACAAGTCCAAGACCATGTAAACTTTTTTAAGTAATTTTTTTTCAATATTATAAACAAATACAAACGAGAGGGAAAGGAACAGATTCGGAGTAAGAAACATAACAAAAATATGAGAAATAAGAGAGAAGAGAGGATGAAATATTCCCAGAAAAAAGGATTCAGCATTCCTTTTCTAATATCTTGTACGGCTCCTCACCCTGCAAATATTGGCTCCTCTAATCATCAACCTAAGTTATCGGGACCCGTCGAATAACAAGGTGAAACAAACAGAATTACCTTGGTGAGCGAGAGTAAGAAGGTGAACGGGAATGAGAGCGAGAATGGCTTCGAGAGTGAGAGTGAGAATGAGAGCGAGATCGAGACCGGGAATGAGAATAATATCTCCGCGAACCCCTACTCCTACTTCTACTTCTACTCCTACTCCTACTCCTACTCCGGCGGTATCTTCTGCAGTAATCAATCGAAGGTGTCGATGTATAATTGCATATCACAGATTAAAAATCTTACATTTTTTCATTAAAAAGTTGGAATATAACTTACCTACGAGGTGATCGGCTGTAGCTTTTACTGCGGCTCCGACGCCTGTGACCATTTAATCGGCTAGTTTCTGCTAGCTTTTCAAGTCTCTGGCGCTCCTGCTCTCTCTTTTTAGCCATTTCTGCTGCTGTATCTTTCTTAACTGCATGGGATCATCCAATTGTTCGATCATCATAAATGCCAGAGACGATTTTAAAAGATCTTGAAATAAAGATGACTCCATCCCAAACATTGAGAAGAGGAAGATATAAGATTATTATCTTCAAAGAACAGATGCGTGGAAGCCCCTCCCCACAATGAAAAATGTAGATGATCTATGGTACATACTTTGTTTATTAAGCTGTTGACTCATGATTCTCTTTAGTCGTTCTTGAGGAGTTTCTTTCTTTTCTCCCTGTTTTAAAGGCCCTCCAGAAGAACTTGCCTTAGTTAACTTTGCAAGCGCTGACGACGTACTGTATAAGGAAATAAATGTCCCTAATTATTTTGAAAACTTCACAATATTCTAACTTCATATGCAGAAGGCAACAAACATTAATATTGGAAATTTTGAAGACTGGAAAAAGTGGATCAGCTTCAGTACAAAGGACTTGAAACTAAAGTAAATTGAGACTTCATAAATACCTTGCTGATGGTTTTACAGCTCTGCCGCTCTTATCTTTATCAAGTGTCACGCCAGATGCTGGATCGATATGCAATGCCTCGAGTATACGACCAGCACCAGATGATGGCCTGCAGGAAAGGACAAGATCAGAGATGCATGCCCATTATAAAAAAGTTCCATGCATATTTGCTAGTGATTATGTTTAAATCCATTTTAGGGAATATCTGAGCTTCAAAAAGGAAGCCTCCTTCCATCTTGCCGTGGGCAGTTACGCTGATAATCCTAGGCCTGATCTATACTAAACCACACAAGTTTGCCTCAGGTAACAAAATGGGAGAAAGCTGCAGCAGAGTAAAGATTGTCCAATCTATCTTCGCAAGAATGAAAGGTCGAGTGCTCCGACCGGTTTAACATATCAGGCTGAGATGGAGGAGATGGTGGTGGAGATAGTCCTTCTAGCCTCGGTTCCTTGCTTTCGCCAGAGCCCCCAAATTCTGTGATAAATTCAATTTTAGGAGTCCTTGGTTTGTTTCGATGATCATCAGAATGCCCACGAGAATGACGCCTCGAGTGTGATGGGGAATGCGATCTGGACCTTGATCTGCAGAATAATAGGAATGGAGTTGCTTTTTTTAAATAATAAAACTAGTAATTTTAAAATCCATTTTTGTCCACAGGATACGCAAACCATGCTAGAAAGTTTCCATCAAAAGACATACCTTCTAGAACGTGGATAAGCATCATAAGTTGGACTACGTCGAGACTCTCTACATGTGAAAATAGAATGCATGATTATAGCTCGTTAAAAGTAAACTGCCCAGTGCCCTATCATACCACTGAACAAAAGTGAACATTTATCCTTTCACATATCACAAAAATTTGCAGAATTATACCGGTAAGGATCATGATGGAGAACTCTGGTACCAGTAATTCGTGCAGCTTCTCTTTCCCTTTCCCGTTCCATTTGAGATGCTTTCCTTCTTTCCTTGCGACTTAGCTTTCTCTACGAGTTTCACATTTTAGGCTTAAGAGATTATTGACTATCAGAAAGCTGAAAAAAATCTGTGGTATTGTTAATAACCATAATGGGAGTGACTTACTATTGCAGGATCACCTTTGATTATTTCCTTTTGCCTCTTCTCTTCCTCTTTAGCCTTTTTATCCATGTAAACAAGCCAACCATATCTTTTGACTCCGAACTCTTTTGCTATTACCTCCATTCCTTCGTCATTACTGTCATCACTGTTAAAATCTTCCTCCTCTTCATCCTCGTCCTCATCATCTTCACTAGCATTATCATCTGCATCTGAATTTGATTCCTCCTTCACATCCGCCTCATAAGAAAATGCCACTTGTGAATATGATCCCTTGCTTGCAGCAGAAGGAGGCTGCGGTTGCTGAGATCTTCACATATTCACAACACAAGAAAGACCATAAAGAATTATATAGAATTCAGCAGCAGCAATTCCACCCATAAAACTAATGAGGAATAAAAATTAAATTCCTAATTTTATCAGTCATTTTATAAATTTCATTATTATATTTAATAAGAATCTTATGTGACATCTATCTCATGGACATGCATATTAAACCACATACTAATATCAAGAACGGGTAACTTAAAATTTCTATTATATACAAATGAAATTTTAATGGCGAGAAAAAAAAAAGTTCTGAAATTTTAATGGCTGAGTACAAAAACTTGCAAAGTTAAAGCAAAAAAACAGATAGGGATGACTGAAGTCCTCGTAGGGTCCAAAACCCTACACAAGCGAGGTGGAGAATCCTAGTTTAAAATAAGGCCTGTGGAAAAAAATTCTCACAATTTTTTCAGGGACTGGAGTGGAGAATAATTCTCATTCAGTCTCAACCATAACCCAAAAAAATTTCTAATTATTATACATTTATTAAATTTTGCCATTTATTTATCATTAATATGTAATAAATATTTTGTAAACTAAAAAATATAAAATTTTAATGTATATATAAATATTTAATTAATTTTTCATCCAAACACAAAAAATAAATAAAATAATCCATCAACAATAATAATTAGAGGAAAAGTATAATCGGAGGTTTCAGATTTTTCCCACATGAAGTTGATATCCAAACAGATTCACAACCTCGGTTCCCTAAATTGAGGAATAGGACAAAGACGGAGAGTACATCCCTAACTTGAACTGCCCTGTTTCACCCCAATATCATCTATAAAATGATAAAACATAAGGAAAATACTTGGCTCCTCACCAGTAAGGAGGAATCTTGTCCACACCACCATTTAATATTTGACAACTCATCCTTTTTTAAAACACTTTTTGTTTTTGCATTTCCCTCTCTTAGTTGTCAAATATTTAATGGTGGTGTGGACAAGATTCCTCCTTACTAGTGGGGAGCTAAGTATTTTCCAAAACATAATATTTGGAAGTATAGAGAACAAAACAGAAGACAGAAAGGAAACTATAAGGACCAAAGACTACAGAGCAAAGTAGAATTTTACATCCAAAAAAATTGCATCAATCTAATACAAAATTCACTCTATAAATGGTAAAATATCCTAACATGAAATTAAGGCAGATATTAGTAGAATCAATTGAACAAGGGAGAGTGGAACGTGTTTTCGGAGCTCTTGGTAGATCTCGGTGGGTAAGCAGGTAATGAGTTGTTGGAGGGGGGAAAATACATGCAGAAATATTTCTAAAATCGAGGTGGAGCCAGGAAGTTTTGTCAAGGAGAAAAAAGTGAACCTTCTTTTTTTTTTTTGATAAGAAACCTGACGAGAAAAGTGAATCTTACGTTTGATATAGTTAAAATAAGGTGGAAGAGAACAGTAGTCATCACTAGACCATGTTTTCATGATGGTTGGAACAAAATCGGAAGGCTTTGTAGAACATGATGGGGATGGGTGTATGTTGAATATGAACCCGTGCTGATATGGCCCCATTGAGTTGTCCACACTTATTAATTGGAGTGGGTAGATCATAGGTAGGAGATTTTTTTAAAGTTTTTTTTTAATGAGAAATCAAGCTTTCATTGAAGAAAACAAAAATGAAAGAGAACAAAAGAACAAGTCGAAGGGTGGAGATTTTTCAAAAGATGGAACTTGAAGGAACATTTTGGAAAGCTAAAGTGGTTCCAAGTCATGGTGGATGAATAAAATTGCTTACTAATGAACATGTTGAAGGCTATATCAAAAGGGCAAGAAGAACTATTAACTTAGAAGAACGTATAGGGGCAAGTATAGAAGCGGGAAAAATATTATTGCAGGTTTATTCCAAGTGAAATAGAAGTTGTTAGAGATGAAGAAAGAAGGATGGTGCCAGTTGGTGGAAACACTGTTTTCTAACAGCTTGTTGATTGAAAAAGTGGACAAATTTTATGGTGGTTTTTCCTCTAAAACTACCTTGAAATTGTATGATGTAAATACTGATTCTTGTTTGATCGGTGCTAAAATAAGGGTGGATAATTCTGTTCATACAGGATGAATGAATAGACGTCTGATTTATCTAAAAATAAAGATGAAAGATGAGTGGAAAAAATTAAGTTCAAGGGGTATTTGTTTGGCCTTCCAAGTAAGGAGAAAAATCTCTTTGGAGGAAAAAAGGGGGATAGTCAAATGAATAAAAATGTAGGACCAACTGGATTTGTGGTAAGAACATCATGAAGAGGGTTGAAGATGACAAAACAGTCTTGATTCTCTTGAACGAGCAGGAAGATTCTGGGTGGCTGGAAAATGTTTTGGTACAGGCTGGAACTGAAAGATGAACAGTTTGCTGTTTTAAGACTTCAAGATAAGTAGATTTGTTGGATAATTGGAAACCAGGCTAAAAAATCTGAAAGGAAACTGAAAACCGGGTGAAAGGGATGGAAAATTACAGAAAGGGGCTAAAGATGATGGCATTAATGAGGTGAAAATCAATGATGGAAGGAGAAGCGTCTGTCAAATGAAGAGGTGGAAAAGGGACAGCTTTTATTTGAACAAACCTAGCTGATTTTACTTTGAAAATCAGTGTCATTAAAGCATTTTCATTAAGGAAAAAGGAAGGAAAGAGGGAAAATTTTGAAGAAGAAATTGGCAACAAACCCTAAATGATTCAGATTAAAGAATGGTGACCATTGGTCACATTAAGAAAAGGAAAGTTAGAAGAAAATGAATTTATCAAAACAAGTATCTTTGAGCCAAGCAAGAAAATAACAAGTAAAACATGCATGCACTTCACAAAAGAAAACCTTAACTTTTTTTTTTAATGCTATACATGCTTGGCAAGAGTACCACAGAGATGCTATAATGAAAAACATTGAAAAACCAGCCATATTCCTTCTATTTGAATTGCCAAAATCCAAACCACCGCAGTTAAAGTGAGAAAGACAAACTTCTAGATAATTCAAGAGAAGTGAACTAGAAAATTTAGAATAAAATATTTAGCCTTATCCATCCATATATATTGAGAGAGAACGAAAAAGAGGAGAGACTGAGAGAGAGAAACCTGTCTGATACAAATGGAGCAGACACCTTGGATTCCATTTCTTGATTTACATGTTGTAAACCATCCTCATCATTAACTGTTGACATGGAAATGTAGAAAGCTTAGTTAAATATTTACATCATCATTATAAAATATACAAAGAAAAATAACCTTTGTCCTTATTGCTCATCGAATAAGGAAAGCTAGTGGGTTTATGCATTGAATTGTTAGAGGATTTAAGAGTTCGATAAAAGTAAAAAGAAGTACCCACATCCTCGACGTCGATGCTTAATTAAATCTCGATAACGCTGAAAATTAACAAACTCTTCTAATTCCTCTTCTTCCTCCGATTTTTCTTGTGTTCGAATATGTCGGGGTTCTCGAATGAAATCAAGCAGGGCACGTCCATCAAATCTGCTCAAAAAATTAACACCTACCCCTCAGCATTAAATCATAAATAATTAGCCAAACGAGAACTTAAAAATCAAACAGTCCTCCAACGATTTACAGGAACGAACCTGTCAATCATTACATCCTGCTTACCATTCCAAGGAATCCTGAGACAGAGGTTACACAAAAAGAAAAAATTAAGACATAAGGTAAAGTTAGAGTTTGGAGCTCAAAAACAGTAATGCCACCAAAATAATAAAACACAATCTGACAATTAACCAAAAAATAAGAAGATAAACCCCAGCCAACAAATGCTCGGATATAACAAAATTCTTACGTGTACCAATTCAGTTAAGGGTGTTACGAGGAGGGTTAAAACATAAAACTAGAACCTCCTGCAATAAAATCCTCAGTTCCTATTGATCCGCAAATAAATACCTCATTTCTCGTTTTAAATTTTAAACACGCAATGAACGAAGTGAAGAAGAAAAAGGTTTCAGGATAGTGATGCAGTTCAACTCTAGCAGCCAATTCCCAAATGGTCCTCAATAACTTTGGAAAAAATAAACGAATTGCAGCAATTCAAATCATCCAGAATTGTATCCTTAAGACAGAAATCAGCCGAGAATAGGATATCCAAGCATTTAGTATCTAATGCCGCTAATAATCAAATGAGAAGCCGAAGAAGAGTTCTTACAGGCCTTGTTGGTCCTGAGTTGCTTGATAGAGACCATCGTCACGGTAAACGCGGCAGCGAGTTCCGACGACCTGGATGGATTGCTGAGGATCGCCACGGCGCTTGGCGAGGAAGACGGCGCGCCTTTGAGCTCGCTTTCGAGCAGCGTCCATCATGTCGTGGACCTTCCTCTCGGATCTCCTCGCCTCGTGCCACATCTCTGGAAGAAGATGCAATTCTAATGGATTTCGATTGAATCGGGGAAAATGGAAAACCTAAACCCTGATCCCCTTCCTCTCCTCGCATGGAACTACGAGTTCCCGATGACGACGACGGTTTGCTGTTCTTCAATGGCATCGGGAAGATTCGGATTCTGGACTCAGTTTGTGTTTTCTAGGCTTCCAGTAATTTGGGCTTTTTTTCTTAGATTGGCCCAATTTATTTTTTTCCCTTTTTTTTCTTTTATTTTTTGTAAGGGTTTTGCAAAACTAAAATTAAAAAAAAAATAATTGCAAAAACTATGATACCCCCAAACTTTCAAAGGTTTTTGGGTTGAATAACCTTTTTTACAAGGCAGTATCGTTTTTTACCCATTTTTTTCAAAATTTATGTTTTCTAATCTTTGTTGAGATCACTTTGGATACCAATTTACTTCCATTATCCCTCCATTCATTTGTTTAGATTTGTTTCTCTTATTTCCTCCGTCTCTTTCTAGAATTTTTTTCACTCTCTCTATTTCCCTCCCCCTCTTTTTCGATATTTATTTTCTCTCTCATTTTCCATTAACTCATCCTTTCTCTTCTTTATTTTCTCTCTTTTGACACTCATTCTTCTCTTTTTCTTGGTTTCTCTTCCTGGAATAAAAGAGAGGAAAGAGAGGGAGAGGGGAGGGAAGAGGAGAGAGAGGGAAGAGAGGAAGACGAGAGATGAATTATTTTTTTATTATTATTATTTTTTTCCATCTTCTTCTTGATTTGTTCAATCATAAAAATTAATTTTCCTCTCTCTTCCGCATACCCTTTTTCCCTCCCTCTAAAAATAGTATTTCCTCTCTCTTTCTCACACCCCTCACTTCACGCCTACATCTATCTCTCTYCTTTACATTCCATGATATGAACCAGCGAGGGTACCATCAAAAGAATCATATATCTTTTATATATATTTGATTATACTTGATTTGATAGACCGTTGATATACATGATTACAAGTGTTAATATATCAACGATATACCTTCTATGAGTGCTAATATACCAAATAACATACTTGATATATATACATTAATATATTTGATTATAACGGCTGATATATATACATTAATATATATGTAAGCATCAATATATATACATTAATATATTTGATTATAACGTACTTGATATACATACATTAATATGTACATTAATATATTTGATTATAATGGCTGATATATTAGCAATATACCTGATATGAATATTGATATACCTAATATATAGTATATAATATGATATATCATTGATATACTTGAAAATCTAGAAGGATAAAATCGAAATAACTAAAAAACGAAAATAATATTTCAAATATTTGTCATATTTACCCGACTCAAAAGTTGTTATATTTGCAAATGTTTTAGCTAACCATTACAAATTTCCTTATTTATATGTAAGCATACTTTTATAAGAAAAATATTAAATAACAAATTTATAAATTAACTTCAATAGTCTTAGTGTTGTTATTAAATGATGACGTGACATGTGTCATTAACAAAGTTGGATTGATTTGACACAATGTAATAGATAAATGATAAAATAAATTAAATTGTTGAACAAGGTAGAGTGGCCAACGTTTGCTCATGTGATGCTCGGGTAGAAAGAGACGTGGATGAACCTTACACCACATTAAAATGAGACGGACTATCAAACCATGCAAGTATAGCAAATAACGGCTTAAAAATTTAATAGCTACTATATAGCCTACACGGGTTCAGCTCATGACTTCTTAAAAAACAAATTTAGGAAGTTTGTGAAGATTAAATAAAATATGTTGAAAGTACTCTCGTGTTGGTTTGTAAGGACATTTCATTTTTAAAAAATAGTTTAGCACAGCGACTTATCTAAGTTAAAAGGAAAATGCCAAAGCCATCAAGTAACAAAATTAAATAGCAAATTCTCATCCAAATGATGTTACATATGCTATCAAAATATTCTTTTTTATTTTCCTTCTTTTTTGAGTTTCTGTGGTGGTAAAAAGCTTTTAAATCCAGACACTAGGGATATTGTTCGTAAAGAAAATTATTCTTCTTGTTCATCTGTTTTTGCTTAACACGATAATATATATTAGGTCTTTAAGATTCTATATGAGCGTAAGATTTAAAACTATAACAACGTAGGATTCACTTTAATCAACACTAGAGCTAACATGGAGAGATTAATTATGAGAACAAATCTATATCTATACTATATTTAAATGGGACTATGGAGGAGAATCTTCACCTCTCCATTTTGTCCCCAACTTTTAAATGCATACTTATTTTGCCCTTCAAATTTCTACGAAAGACACGACTGTTCGAGTTAAAGTGTTTGTTGAGATAAAAAATCCAAAAAAGTTGTGACCATTTGATGAAACAAGGAGTTTAATCCAAAATAGTTGTAATTGTTCGAATAAAAAGATGTGTTGAGAGAAGTTAATCCGATGAAAAGTACAAGTGTTTGATGAAGTGATGCATCTATCCACGTATAAGTGCCATAACAAATAATCTACAAAAACCTCCTCATTTTGCCCACAACTTTTAAATACATACCTATTTTGCCCTTTAATTCTACAAGAGACACGACTGTTCGAGTTAAAGTGTCTGTTGGGATAACAAATTCAAAAAAAGTTGTGACCATCCGATGAAACAAGGAGTTTAATCTAAAAGAGTTGTAACTGTTCGAGTGAAAAGATGTGTTGAGAGAAGTTAATCCGATGAAAAGTACAACTGTTTGATGAAGTGATGCACGTATAGGTGCCATAACAAATAATCTATAAAATGAAATATTATGTGTTTTTCTTTCACCTAAAACTCATTTCCAAAATATTAATGAAGATTTTTCTTATCTTCATGAGTGAACACTGAACCATGTCAAAAGAATATTTGAGAATCCAGAAACATATTTAATCGATTAAGAGGTAGAGTAACAAAATTATGTATTCCTATCATCTTCAACTTTTATTATTTTAGATTATTTTAATATTTTTATGTGGATTACTTTTAAGTTATATATTCATGATACGTTCTGTGTTTTTATATTTAGTTAATGTTATTTTCAAATTTGATTTAATATTTAGTTAATGTTCTTTTCACGTTTTAAAATATATTCATGTTATATTTTAGTATTAGTTTTCTTATTTATCTTAATATGACTTTTTGATTGCTGTTGTTCTTATTTTATTTTTTTGGTCATATGATTCTTTATCCCACATTTTTTCAATGATTTCATAGTAGTACATAGTATTCAGTTTCTTTCTCAAATTTCAATTCTTTAATTTTGGTTCATTCTTCCTTATTACATAATATACAAAAGATAAAAGAATGAGTAAATAATTTAAGAAAACACACAAAAAAGATTCTTGTTGTTTTCTTTTTTAAAAAAAATTGACAACGAATAATAATTGTCCGGTTCAAATGAATTTTGCATTGAAATTATGTTTGCATAGATAGTAATGAATCATCGTTGGCAGAAGTTCAGGAGAGAGCAATATAAAGTTTTCACTTTAAAAATGTTTTAAAAAAATAATTATTGAAACTAATAATTAATAAATTTAAGATGAAAGAGACAGATCCTCATTCATATAATTAGATAAGATTTTTTTTTCTTATTTACTATTTTGGTTTAATTTATTTTTACGTCATAAACTTCAATTTTTGTATCGAGTCTATTTTATTTATAGTTTTTTAATATCAAAACATTATTTCTTTAACTACATAATATTACCTTAATATATTTAATTGTACCATCCATTTTTTAAATCGTCTAACAGTTTTGTATCCATATTTAGATTAAGAACGTTGTTAATAATTGTGCTAGCTATAGATTGTATTTTTTAATTATTATTATATTTATCCTTTTAAAAATAGAAAAAATATATTTGATTTTTCAATTTTGGAAAGTAGCTTAAGAGTAAAAATAAGTAATTTTATTTGTTCCAATCATTTAATATTTAATTATAATTTTGATAATCTAACAAATTATTTCACTATTGTTCGAATTTTTAGTTACATAATTTGATTTAATTTATTATGTCTCAATTAACAATAGACTTGATTATCAAAAATTGATAACCACATTAATTATTTCGAGTAGGATTCTTTAAACTTGCAGCACAATCCACCAAAGATGGATCGTGGTAAAGAAGTTCGGAATAAAGAAGTAAGGATTGGCAATGAACAATATCAACCTGCACCAGGCTACCTCAAGAACATCCTATATTTGTCTCCCTACTTCCGAAACCATATGGGAGGATCTATCTATGGATTTTATCTTGGGATTATCCAAAACCCAACGCGGTTTCGACTCGGTTTTGGTGGTAGTTGACTGTTTCAGCAACATGACACATTTTCTAGCATGCAAAAAATCCTCGGATGCAGTCTATGTTGCCAATATATTTTTCAAAGAGATTGCTCGTCTCCATGGAATACCAGAATCTATTGTTTCAGATGGGGACGTAAAATTTCTTAGTCATTTTTGGAAAACTCTATGGAAGAAGTTTGACACGTCTCTCAAATATAGTACCACAAATCACCCCTAAACAGACGGTCAAACGGAGGTAACGAACAAGACACTTTGGAACCTTATTAGATGCCTATGCAGTGACAAGCCTAAACAATGGGATGCAGCTCTTGCACAGGCAAAATTCGCTTTCAACCATATGCGAAATGGATCCATGGGGAAGTCGTCATTTGAGATAGTTTCTACTAAGCTTCCTCGTCTAACTGTTGTCTAAAGACGTCTTTAGTTATGTCTCTAAATATTTTATCTGACAAACTAATAAAGGTACCACTCAAAATACTGTCCTCTATACTCCTCTCCCTTTACCGGCAACAATTTGGGAGAATTTATCTATGGACTTCATATTAGAATTGCCCAAAACTCAAAGAGGTTTTGATTCCGTCCTAGTCGTAGTAGACCGTTTTAGCAAAATGGCTCACTTTCTTGCTTGTAATAAAACTTCAGATGTCGTTTGTGTGGCTAATATTTTTTTCAGGGAAGTGGTACGCCTTCATGGCATTCCTAAGTCTATTGTTTCAGATCGAGATGTAAAGTTTCTTAGCCACTTCTGGAAGAAACTGTGGAAGAAATTCGATACAACTCTAAAATACAACACCACCAGCCGCCCACAGACAGATGGTTAGACAGAAGTCACAAATCAGACTCTAGGCAACATTATTCGATGTCTATGCAGTGATAAACCTAAACAGTGTGGGATCTCGCTCTTGCTCATGCAGAATTCGCTTTCAATCATATGCAGGTTTACACTAAACTCCCACCGCTTACAATAGATCTAGCGAATTTACCTTCTTCTGTGGATTGCAGTATGGAGGCTGCAGCTATGGCTGAAAGGATACTAAAACTTCACCAGGAAGTGCGAGAGCAGATTGAAATCAACAATAAAAAATATAAGGACGCAGCAGACAATAAGAGAAGACCAAAGGATTTTAAACCGGGAGATCTAGTTATGATCCATTTACGGAAAGGACGAATACCAGCAGGATCATACAACAAACTCAATAAGAAGAAAATTGGTCATTTTGAGATTCTGAAACAATATGGACCTAATGCCTATCATATAAATCTACCTCTGTCAACTTCAGTCCTATATTTAATATTGCTGATATTACTCCATACGAAGCTCCAGACTCGTTCACACTTACTTCAAAGAAACTCGAGGACGAGTTTGTTTTCAGAGGGAGGCAATCTGATGTAATCCGGAACTATGATTAGTTAGTTAGGTGTTAGTTGTTCGGTTGGTTTAGTTATCGAGTTTGTTTGTTTTAAAACTGTTTGTGTCCTCCTATATAAAGGAGGCTTCTCTTTGTATTTGGGTAGGTTTTAATAAGAATTCTAATCTTCCTAAATTGGTCTGCACCACAATTATATCTCTTCCAAAGCTACTTACACAAGCATTTTTGTACTGATTTTTTTTATTACAATAATAACAAATTTAAGTTTACTTTATTACTATATTATTGATAGTAAATATTTTTTATTATAATAATTTATTTAAAAGTAATAAAAATGAATATAATTAAAATAGAATTACATCAATTAAAATACATTTTTATGGGAACAACCCTCCTTTAATATAAACTATTATTAAAATTTATTATTCTACTATTTAATAATAATGAATTTTAAAAAAAAATTATTGATCACGATGACTTTTACTAAAAAAAAACCCTAACCAACTCTTGAGAACCAGATTCAACCAATAACATTAATTTTTCTAGGCATATCCCCTCAAACAAGACCAATGCTTCAGTGGAAAACATATATCAAGCGTGTGTTTGAGAATGATGGTAGAACTAGTCATTTTAAAAAAAGAGATTTAAGTATAATTGATTTTCCAAAATCACCATTCAACTGGTAGATTTTTAGTGATTTCAAACTTTCGAAAATTAATTTTCTAATATGCAAAACATAATCAATAAAAAATGAAATGATTTTCACAATGGCAAAAGTAATTTTGATTATGCCAAAATCACTCTCAAACACACCTCAAACCGTTGATCAATTTTCCTTTTACTAACGCTAAATTGATATCATTATTAGTTGTAATTTTAAATAACAAATTACATCATTCTAAGGATATTGTACTACTAAAATTGCAATTTTGAATGAAGCCCATAATAATATTCACTCTTTCCTATAAAACAGCAAATTGAAAGAAGCAATCAAGGCCAAAATAAATCTGTCCCACTATATCTCTGTCTTGTTCCAACTTGCAAATGCCTATAAACAGCAAAGAAACAAAGGCCATATAATCAAACACAAATCTCTCCCTCCCTCTCTTTCTTACAACCATCCATATCCCATAATACTTCAAAATCCAAATTAAACCACTCCATCCCATCCCTTCCTCCTCCATACTCTATCCCATTCGTCTCATCCCGAACCCATCGGCTGATCAAGCCATGGCTCGAGCCTCATTCGTCGCTGCGTGGGCTGCTCTCGTAGCCGTAGTAATGGTCACCTGGGCGGTGGAGGCTGATATAGGTGTGAATTGGGGAGAAATGGCATCGCACCCATTGAACCCAAGCATTGTGGTGAACTTGCTCAAGGACAATGGGATTAAAAAAGTGAAGCTGTTCGATTCGGACTCGTGGACCGTGAGCTCCTTGGCTGGCTCCAAAATTGAGACCATGCTCGGCATCCCTAACGACCAGCTCGCCAAATTTGCGAAGAGCTACGGCGATGCCAAGGATTGGGTTAAGGAGAATGTCACCGCTCACTTGTATGAAGGTGGTGTCGATATCAGGTTTTCCTAATTACATCTTTTCTTTTTTGTCATTTAGATATAAAAATAACTATTTAATCCAATTTACTATGATTTTTTATGAATAATTTTTGTTTGTTATTCATTTCCATGGAGCAATTGTGGGCCAAATCATATCAACTAAATGAACATATATATTAAATTCTTTTCCATTTTAATATTATATATATATTAGTGGTATTTCGTTGATATTTTTCATATTTTGTCGATTTTCTTATACTAGGGTGGAAATATAGATTTACCTCTCATGTCGATGTCGAACCCATGAAAACATGGTATGTCCATAGAAATGTTACATGAATGTCACTAGTTCTTTGCGTTGCATCGGCCTTTTTTCTTTTAATTGCATTATTTATTACTAAATTTGATTGATTTTGTGACTAATTTTCAGAGTATTCTCATGCCTGATATCATTATTTTATTCATCAAGTTTCATATGATTTTTCTATTAATCCTCATATTGAATCATTCCTTTAAAACCAACTAACTTTCAAAATCTTCACAGGTATGTAATCGTGGGAAATGAACCATTCTTGGCGGCCTACAACGGAAGCTTTACAAAACTCACATTACCAGCCATACAAAACATACAAAAAGCTATAAACGCCGCCGGTCTCGGCCAGAAAATCAAAGTAACGACGGCGCTCAACGCCGACGTCTACGAGTCGCCTTCCAACCAGCCCTCCGACGGGCGATTCCGATCAGACATTGCCGACCTTATGAAAGACATCGTCGAGTTCCTCACTAGCAACAAGGCTCCCTTCATGGTCAACATCTACCCCTTCCTCAGCCTCTACCTGAACCCCGACTTCCCGGTCGACTTTGCCTTCTTCGATGGGGCCGGGAAGTCGATCAACGACAAGGGAAAAACATACAGCAATGTTTTTGATGCAAACTATGACACACTTGTTTGGTCGTTGAAGAAGATTGGGCTACCTGATATGAAGATCATTGTTGGTGAAGTTGGGTGGCCAACAGAGGGGAGTAACCATGCAAATGCAAAATCCGCCCAAAAATTTTATGATGGGCTGTTTAAGAAGCTGGCCGCCAAGAAGGGGACTCCAATGAGGCCGGATGAGAAGTTTGAAGTGTATTTGTTTGGACTTTTAGATGAGGATATGAAGAGCATTCTCCCCGGGTTCTTCGAGCGCCATTGGGGTATTTTCAGGTACGACTAAAATCATCATTCAACTCAAAAGCTTAACAAATTTATTTAGTTTGTTCTGATGATGCATTTGATGGGTTAAATAAGATTTAGTCCAAATCTAGAGCTAAAGTATTTGTTTTGAAGAGAGCAAATAGCTAGACACCAATCTCAAACCTAAATTAGTCTAAGTCATACACGATGTTGTTATTTAAATGTCATGTCATTGTTTCAATTTCACGTTGCGCTAAGTCATCATTTGTTAAAAAATCAATCTGTAGCATTTAAATTTAAGTATATCATATAAACCATTGTACGTAAGGTCACTTTTCTTTACATGCCCCTTCAAGATCGTTACTGGTTTGAGCGTTTTTGGGTTCATATCAATATTCATGAGGTTCCATTTCAAAATCAATTGACAATAAGAGGAGTAGTCAATGTCTATTATAAACCATTGTAAGGTCCGTTTTCTTTTCAACGTGGGATCCTTAACACCTGGTAAGGATATTATATAATTCAGTCGTGTATTGTTAATAGATATGACGGGAAACCGAAGTTTCCAATGGACATCACGGGCCAAGGGAACGACAAGTGGCCAGTGGCGGCGAAGGGAGTTCAGTACTTGGAACACAAATGGTGTGTGGTCAAGGACAGCGTCAAGAACTTGAGCAAAATAGCTTACCTGATTGACTTTGCTTGTTCACAGTCGGACTGCACAAGCTTGGTGTATGGATCTTCCTGCAACAACTTGAGCACAAGAGGGAACATGTCTTATGCTTATAACATGTATTTCCAGGTTCAAGACCAGAGCGTCGAGGCTTGCGTTTTTGATGGCTCCTCTCAAATTGTCACCAAGAATGCCTCTGTCGGCACTTGCTTGTTCCCGGTTCAGATCGTCAGTGCCGCACAACGGTTGACGATGGTGGCGGGTTTTCTCGGGACTGCTCTGGTTGGCCTTGTGTTGAGCCTGGTTGTTTAAGTGTAAGCACCAATGATCAGCATGTGTTGGTATAGAAAATATTTAGGTGATTATCTGTCAGCAACATTGCTGACCGCCACTAAAAAAAAGATATGTTTTCAAAAATTTAAAAATTTATCAAATTTTTATTGGTGGTGAGCATGAAGAATGTGCTGACCGATAAACATTTAAACATTGTTCATTCAAATCTTTTTTAGATATATATACTTTATATAAAAAATGAACCGCAGGAGAGAAAGTTTCTCTCTCTATTTTTCCAATTTTGTTTTTTTTCCTCTAAGTCATTTATTGTAATTTTTTAAATTTTTTTAGTAGTATGATACGACTTTGCGTTGAACTTGTAAACAAATTGAGAAGAGACATTGAAATAGAACAATTTTTTTTATTTGCAATTATTTATATATACGTCTACCGTCAATCTAATATATTACAATCAACCAATTTAATTTTTACAGATATCTTATACTAAATTCCAATTCATTTGCCTATATCAAAACAAAGTCGACACGTAAGACCCATACCAATTGAGGTGTAAATTTTAAATATGTTTCAATTTGATGACGGAGAAATCTAGTTTGGATTAAATAAAGAAATAATACTTAAAATTATAAAAAGGTTACAAATAATGTAATTTCTAGTTCACTTATCAATTAGCACCACTGGTTTAGTGGTAGAATTGTACCCGCCACAGTACAGACCCGGGTTCGACTCCCGGCTGGTGCAATTATCGTGTGCAGACAAATACTTTAGAATATTACTGGGAGATTTTTCTTTCTTTATACAAGTTTTCTCTGTACTTCTCACAATTGCTCTTTAGAATTCAATAGAAACATCCCCTTAACATGTTGATGTTGATGTTGTTGTACTTAATCCAATATTACACGTACATGCAACTTAATCAAGTAAACAGTTAGAAAATCACAGTTGAACAAAAACTATTCTAATTTAGTTTTATCAAAATTGAAAGACTCGTTGATAACAAAGTTTCATACTTCAAAGCTTAAAAGTCAAGCTGCCCACGTCACTTTGTGATGGTGGCTATAGAGAAATTTGACTAGAATTTTCAAAATGTTTCTAAAAAATAGATTATAACCTTTTAAAAATTACTTTTACAAACAAAAGATCGAAAACAAAATTCACAATATATTTTCTTTTCTTCTGTATATAGACATATATATGTGTGTTAACATCGCTTAATTTAGGACTCGTTTGATACTTTTTTTTTTCTTCTTTCTCATTTCTTCTTTTTTAATTAAAAAACAAAATAAAACAAAATTATGTTAAAATATCATTTCTTATTTCTTCTTCAATTGTTGCGTTTTTTTTTTTATTATTATTGAATGAGAAACAAAAACATGTTAGGTTAAAAAAAAAGTAAAAATTCTAATATGAAATTTAATTTTTAAAATCAAATATTCAAAATTTTTATGTTATATTTATGTTTTGACTATTATGCATTTTTTAAATAAAGATAATAAAATAACGTTTTTGTCTATGTTTTGAATAAAAAAATAGAAACCGGAAAAAGAAAAAAGAAAATAGTTTTTGTTTTCCCAAAATTTCTACATAATTTTGGAAATGTACCTTTCTTAGAAATGAAAAACAAGAAATAAAAACCGTTACCAAACATTTATTTTTCTCAAAAATTAAAAACGAAAAATAAGAAATAAGAATTGAGAACGTTATCAAATAGGCTGTTAACTAGGAACTACTAAACTAAAATCTATACTATATTAAAAAGGGAGCATCTTGTAATAACATTTTTAGAACATTATACCCACTTATCAATTTTTGAATTACTAAACATGTCCTCTCTTATTTTTAATAGCTTTAATTAATAAAAAATAAAAGTTATGGATATGAAAATCTTGAATATGAAAAGTTATGTTTATATTTACTCCTAACAATTTATGATTTTACTTTAATTGAAATTAATGGAATTCAAAATGTATTGGAATCTCAAAAAATTTTCAACTTATATTGATCCTCTACATGTATATATATGAGTTTCTCCCTTCTTCCTCCTACCATAATTTAGCTCTCTTCTTCTTTAGTTTGCTCTAATTTTCATTTCTTGTTTAATGATCAATTCTTATATATTTTATACATATATAGATTTAGTAGTGTTATATTGCACAATGGCGTAGCAGGTTGAGTATTTCTATTTATAAGAGTTGCAAGATAATATTGTTTAAAAGTAGAAGTCGTTGAATTTTACAATTTGATCTCAAACATCAATCTAAGGTGGGCAATATCTAAGAACTTCAGTATTGAATCATTCCTATAAATGTTATAAGTTATTTTACAATTAGTATTGTTATTATTTATTATTCAAAAATTTTGAAATTTAATTATTACTCAATTTTAACATTAAGCAATAATGCTATTATTCGTATTTTTTTGAATTTTATTCAAATAAAAGAGCATATTTTTAGCCATTGTTAAATTACAAGTAGCTAAAAAATAATATTTTAATATACATAGGAATATTTTATTAGAAATTTACATACATTGATTTAGAAATTTGTTAAATTAAAAATCTTTTAAGTATATTTCTATAGATAACTATAAATTTATTATAACTTAATACAAATTAAAATATTAGAACAAATTAATATGGATTATTGATCAATTTTTCTCTTATTTGTGAAAAAAAAAACAGAAAACAAAAAATATCTCCTACCAACATTAAGCAATGATACTATTATTTTTATTTTTTTCAGCTTTATTTAAAGAAAATAGCATATTTTTAAATATTTTTAAATTAAAAGTAGCTAAAAATGATATTTTAATATGCATAGTATTTTTTAAAATATTATATGAAATCAATCTGTTAAATTAGAACTCTAAACTATATTTCTATTGATAATTGTAAATGTGTTATAACTTATTAAAATTAATATAACAAATTAAAAGTGGATTAAATATAAATATTATAATATAATAATTTTTTATTATAGTAATTAATATATTTATTAATTAAATGCACAGAGATAATAAATAAAATCATCTTATAAATATAAAATTATGAGTATCTATTGTTTTAAAGAAAAATGGATATGTTCCTAAAGCTAAAAAGTATGGGAAAAAATCAATTATATTTTTATTAACTAAAATATCATGGTTGGAAAATCAATTTTATATAAATGAAAATTTAAATCCACCTAATAAATATATAGAATTTTAAAAAATTGGATGGGAAAAGTTTTGTCATTTCACTTTCTTCAAATATTTTATTTTTAATTATAACTAACTATAGAGCTTCAATTTAGTTTAAATTTCAAAAGTTTTAATACATTTTTCTTAAAATAAAAAGTATATTTTTTTTCTAACATTATTTCACCAACAAAATTGGGATATATAGTTCTATCCATTTATAAACATTGTTTTAAATTTGTTACTTTTGATATATTTTTTCAATAAATAGTGATATTTTTATTACTTTTTATATTAGTGAAAAAATAAATAAAAAGAATATCATGCGGTGATATACTAGTTAGTAATAAATGTTCCTTTGTTTAACTTTATTTATGTTAAGTTTTTCATAATTAATTAAAAATAAAAGAGTTTCGGGTTTTTAGGCAAGAAAGGATAGAATAATATTTTTAGAGAAAAATAAATAGTATGGAAGAAGCCAATGCCGAGGAGTAATTAGCCCAATTTCTCTATTTATTTGGCTAAATAGCCAAATACTCAATTATTTCAAATTTTAAGTTTTTTTTTTCTCAAAATGAGCCCATTTTATTTCTATTCATCTATTCTTATTGTCAACTTTTTAAAAAAGTATTTTTGAAACTCTAGTTGAATTTTAAATTTAAGATTTATTTTATAACAATTTTGTTTTTAATTTTATATTTTAAAAATGTAAGTTTTTTTCTATTAACAATTTATTTGTTTAAAAATTTCACTTTTTAATAACATTTCTCTAAGTTTAAAAACAAAAAGATTTTTAAAAACATCTTTCAGTTTTTAAAATAGGGTATAGTTATCAAAATATTTACAAGCCAAATTTAAAAAAAAACATAATAAAATAACTATTAATGGAGTTTATTTCCATTTCCATGGATTATTTATTAACATCTTTATGCATGCCCACTCCAGAAACTTTCCAAATTCAGCGTCATTTCCCACTCTATTTATTTCATATAAAATTATTGTTATTATTATTATAATAATTTATTATTTTTCACATATACCAAAGCTTTAAATTTAATTTCATTCCAAATTTATTCAAAAAAAAAAAAAGTCTTTCCAAATTGAATCACGCCGACTCTAAAATTCAACCGAATTATTTATTCCTAGGCCTGCTCAAAATAAGCCAAAATTTAATAAAATATTTTTAAAATCAATTATTTAATTTAACTAAAATTCAATAAAAATGTTTCTTTTTCGATTTTAATGTTATTAAAATTTCATAATGTATTGATTAAAAATAAAATAATTACTTACTTTTTCTTATTCAAATTTCAAGTCATTACCATCTACGTTGAAATACTATTCTGTTCTCTATACTTATAGTTTTTGTCCATTTTGGATCATGTATTTTCAAAATGTTCATTTTAATCGCTGTATTTTCAACTTTGATTCATTTTAGTTTTTGTACTTTTAAAATATTCATTTTAATTCCTGTACTTTTAAAAAGTGACAAATTCTGTCCATATTTTCAAATTATAACACCAATTCTAGAGAATCTTTTTAATATGAAGTCATTATTACATTTCAAGAAATATATTGGGTGTAATATCGTGTTTAAATTGTGATAGAAAATTGATATTAAAAAATAAAGTTAAGGGAAAAGTAGTTATTTTTTAAAAATAGATAGACCAAAATAAATTTTTTAAAAATAAAAGGACTAAAATGAACTAAAATTGAAAATATAGAAACTAAAATGAACTTAAAAGTACAAAAATCAAACAAACTAAAAGTGAAAATACAGAGTCCAAACTAGTATTTTAATCTAAATATAATATTCTCTAACGAAAATCTAAAAAATTAGTTTGTTCTACTTTGTCGTAAAATTTATCTGGATGATTAAACTTTTAAATATTTATATTGAGTCTCTAAATTTTAGATTAAAAAAATACTTTCATCCATATTGGCAATTTTTTCCTCGTAATTTTAACCAAAATCTATATCAATTTCAAGAAACAAGAACCAAAACTACTTTTTTTAAAAAAAAAATTGGCTTAAATTTTGAAGAAATTTTTAAAGTGTTTAATTAATTTAAAAAAATCAAAAT